AATGGAATCTAATAAAATATTATGTGATATTACTTATTATAAAAAATAGTGGAAATATAATAATATATAATAATTAAATAATTTGAAAAATAAATATGTAGTCGAGGAACGATTGATTTTTCGCAGTCTAAATTTGTTCTTACACTAACAATATATAATGAGTAAACTATGCTATGGAATATAATGCATAATAAATACACTAATGATGTATAATATGTATTAATAATCAGATAAAAGACATTATAATATCTTTTATATTGATATAGTAGAGAAACGTGGAATAATGTGTCTTCTTACATTTGTAATGGCTAAGAAAAGAAGAGTTTTATTAAAGTAATAATCTTTTCATTGAATTTCTATAAATCAATAATTAATAAATATAATCGATGCTAAATTGTCTTAATTATAATCGATTAAATTAGAAATCGGTTACATTTATAAATTACTGAATTATTTTCATATACATTTGATTTAATATTAGTTCTAAATCTAATGTAATTTAATGAAGAATTAGTTTACAAATACTCTCCTTCGTTTCAGTTCTTCCACATCTCTCTTATGTATTATCATAAAACTACATTTCACTTCCTCGAAACCCAGTATTGTTTCTGTTTGACCAGAAAAGAAAGAAAGAAAAACTAATGCTTTCGGCGGATCGGTCCGTAATTTAATAAAAGAGCAAGTGTAACGCAGACTTGAGCGCCAGTCGATTGGAGTTTTATTCGAAAATTCACGAACAATTTTTAACTTGTTTAGTAATAAAACTTATTTAAAGAAATACAAATGTTTTCCAGAACAGTTTAGTCTACAAAGAGTGCTAGGCTAAACAATACTTTAAATAATTATATGAAAATAAATAAATTTTATCTTTAATTTAAATAATTATTTAGATTAAGATTGTATCATACAATGTCTAGCACTATTTACGGACATAACTGACAATTTAAGCATGCAAAAATTTGTTCGTCAATTATTCGAATAAAAGTTTTCCGACTTTCAAACGAAAAAGGCGCGTGTAACTTTGGATAGAAAGAGGTGTGCGGCTAAGGGAGCTGGCCCGTATTTTCAAGATGAAAAGACGAAAAAAGATCATTTAATCCTCTTTTTCGGCTTTCTCGACATCTTGTTTTTCTTCAGCCTCTGTATCTCCCTCAAATTTCGGGCCAGGCGCTTCTTCTCCTTCAAGTACGATCTCCTCTGGATCAGGTGCACGTGGAAGAAGATCTTTATCAGGATACATGGATTCAAAGATGCTCTTCGCCTTAAACAATGAAGAAGTTTATTATAAGTAATAATGTAAACGTAAACGAAGTAATAGTTAAACGAATAATTATTATTTAAAATGTTCTTAAGTTGTAACTTTAACTACGCTAAATTTAAATTATAATACGAGGAGAAATTAACCTGATTAACTGCAAAATCGAAATCAAGTTCTAAATCTGGCCCTGAACACAGATAAAGGTTACTGGGTGTGGAATCATTTAATTTAATATCACTTGCAGGTAGATTTAAGTACAATGACCATAAAACTTGAGGTTTGGGACTCTCCGTAGATTCTTCCCTATCATCTTCATCACCATCCTATATATAAAAGTAAATTTTATTTTAAAATATACTTTGGAGGAGCGAATCGCCGTAGCGAAAGAGTTAAGAAAAAAATGTTAGATATATAGGGTGGGCTGAAATTCATAGTACAACCGAGCAGGGGGTGATTCTATGTGAAAAAACAAGAAAAAATTTGGTATTATATTTTTTTATCGGGGCTATGTTTTCGAGAAAATCGACTTTTAAGTTTATTCATCATTATGAAGGATTTAGCCGTCGTCCATTCTTCTATCACAGTTATCTCCGTTCGAGATAGTGTTTACAAACATTGATAATGATGGAAAACATTCGGTTTACGATAAAAGTCATAGTTTCTACGCAGTGAATTACCTTTGCTGTTAGAGGATGCACTCTTAGTTATAAGGCGTATGATTTTCCAATATGACGGTGCACCGCCACATTACGCCTGAGAAGTTAAAAATTTTTAGATCAAATGTATTCGTGTTGGATCGGCCGCCATGGTAAGATTGGTGGTTGGCCATCAAGGTCTCCGCACTTGACGCCTTTAAATTTTTTTTTATGCAGGTATATCAAAGAACAAATTTATAAAAACGATATTTCAAATATTACACATTTGAAGCAAAATATTGTGGACGAATTTGAGAAATTAAAAAACCTTATCAGCTTACATTCTGTTCAGATATTATTAATTCGTTGAGCAAACTTATGTATGTATCAACGAGGAGGATATTTTCAACAACACATATAATAGTATACTGTATTGTAGTGTTGCAATAGAATGTAGTAATAAGGTATAAAAAATTAATCAGTAGGAACACTTTGTATTACTTTAACTACAATAAATAATGTTTGTAAGCATTATCTCGAACGGACACAATTGCGATAGAAGAATGGACGACAACAAAATCCTTCATAAAGATGAACAAACTTTAAAGTCGATTTTCTCAAAAACGGAGCTCAGGATAAAAGATTTTTTCTTATTTTTTCATATAGAATAACCACTTGCTCGGTTGTACTATGAATTCCGAACCATTCAGTACATAATTTAGAATATTTTGAAAATAAACTAACAATAAGGATATATTGATGCAAATTCAATAATTTCAGTCCAATTTTTAAAAGTTTAAGGATAAACATATTAATAGTTATATATAAAACATACCTGAAGATGTCTCTTATCTGGTGAAACAGTCTGTGTATGGCTATGAATAGATGAACGAATGGCTAATGGATCAAGTGGTTCAGCTTTTAAAAATTTGTTGACAACATAGGCCAAGTCTTCTTTTGCATTTGTTGTTCGCTTACATGTCATATGAACCATAACTGTTTTTAAATCAATTTTTAAAAGTTGAATTTAATATTACGTGAATTTTAAATAAATATTATACTTCTACATACACAATCCCTGAGGACAAGCATTTGTAGATGGTCCCAATTCAATCAATGTAACAGGTTCTTGATCAAGTTGCTCTGGAGGATAATATAAAAGTGTCAAATTTTCCTTTTCACCTTGCATAATTGACCTAGAATATGTAATGCAACATTATATCATAAAAATTTATTAGCAAATATTGCTTAAAAGAAAGGAAAAAGGATATTTGTGTTCATTATGAGTTTTTGATTTTTTCTCGATATTACCTCACTATCCACTTATATCTACTATATATATAAAATTATAGTTTTCCCCATATGCAAAATTTTGTAAGACTTTTAAATAAATAATAAAATCTTAACAGCCAGGAAAATTAATTATAATTGTATTATATACATATTTTATATATATTTATTTTCTAATCATATTAAGTATTGACTAATTATATAAACAATAATAATTTTATTATTGTACTTTGTTATCATTTTATTAGCAAATACTTCTTATAATTGTGAAAAATTAAAAATTTCTAATTCCTGTATAGAAAAAGGAGTAAGCACAAAATTTATATTTTATAAAGAATAATTACAATTTGGGTAATCAATTACATATCAATTACATTATCTAATAAATTAAGTTTCATCTTATTTCTTATTATTTTTATTTTAACAATTAATTACTTACGATTATTTGTTATTAAAGTAGCAAATCAAAAGCATATCTTTTAAAGTTAGTGAAATCCTAATATATTTTAAGCTTAATTTTTATTAAGTTCAAAATAAACTTTTGAATTGCAACTTAATTAATTTATTATAATTTACTAAAATTATTAATTAATACAATTTTTTATTTTCATCTTTCTAATAATTACCTGTCTGTAATGAATATTCCACGTGATATTCGTTGATCCCCTTCAGAAGCTACAACTTCTGGCGGTAGATGGCCTTGCCCAACAACCAAATGTTCCAAACTTATTCTTTGTTTACCACTAATGATAGCTTTGCATTTATTCTTATGTATTACTATACCATCAAGCTGCCGTTTTAAACAGTAAACTCCTCCAAATACTGCACATAATCTGTAAGTAATAATAGAAATCATGTTTCATCATCTACAACATTTAAGTATTAAATACTATGATAATAAATTAGTACATAAAAAAAGACAGTAATAATACCTGCAAAAACATTGAGGTAATTCACCACTACCATACATAGGCCAAAGGAAGGGTGTATTTCCATATCTCCCAAGACTATTCAGGAAATGTTTTGTGCGATTCACACCATCTCTACAAGAAGTCTTTTCAGTAGCCATAGCAATTGCTTGAACAACATAATGCTGCACAATTGGTGTCAAATTCTTCGTGTTTAAATACTCCAAAAAAGTTTTATCACGGAATCCTATTAATAGATATAATTTAATTCAACAATAATACAAAATATAGTTATACAAATTCTGATACTATATTAATCTTATTATATAATAATTATACAAATAATGCCATTCAATTTAAATTTGTATTACGTAAATAAATGTTAAATTTACATTGTACAAACGGTATTTAATAGAAATTGATAAACAACTTTCTTCTACATAAAGAAATATAATGAAAAATTTATAAATATAGCAATTTCTTGTATAAATTTTTTACAATTTTTTATTGACTACATGTAAAATACACTTATTGCTCAGTTTATTATAATAAATTTGATATCAAATTTTTATAAAATATTATAGTAAAAGTTTCATGTGTAGTTGATTATTGTGTTTTTAGAAATAAATAATTATTAAATGAGAGATATTATACAAATCTTATATTGTTACGAATAACAAATATTTCTTTTTAAGAAATAAATCGTTATCATTAGACATCATTTTATAAAATGAAGTTAAACTGAAAAAAAAGAAGAAAACGAAAAAAAGAAAAAAGAAAATATATAAATAATTACCATCAAATTCCGGACTATCAGCACCTTGCTCCATGCACGAAGTGAGCAATTGCATCAACATTCTTTTCTCAACAACACTAACAGTTTTATTTGCAAATACATCAGCTCTTGAGCAAGGTACTTGTACCAGTTTCTCATCCATGAATGTAGCTACTCTGGATACTGCCCGAAATTCCGCATAACGAGCAATGTTACTGGAGATCAAAAGCTCGACCAGTTCACCTCGTGCAAATAACAACTGTCATAGATAAATAAAATTTTCCTTAATTAATTTAATATCTAATACAACATATTTCTATATAACTAAAAATAATAAAGATATTGATTGAAATAAATTATTATTTAAATAAAGAGATATTTCCTATAAAATATAGCGAAATAACAAGTATTTTAACAAATAAAATAAGATATTTAAATAATGAATATATTTCAACAAAGAAATAACATTTTACTAATTTTGATATAATCAATTATATACTGCTTATTTTTAAAATTGTTATAAATATACAAATATTCAAAAAAATACTAAAAGCAGGAGAAAAGTAAATAAAAATATAGTTATCATTAATATCTATTTCCAAAAATATTAATAATTAATAAATAATTTAAATTTTGATATTATATATATTTAAAAAAGAGTTTGTGCAACTTCTCTCATAATAAAAATTTATTAAAATAAAAAATAAAATATTGACTGTAATTTTAAATAGCATCTGACGTCGACCAACACCAAATTTGTAAGGATTAAAAGGGAGAAAGAGTGAATCTCAAATATAAAATTTTACCTTTGCTAATTTAATAGTTTCCGAAATATTAATAAAATTGTTTTCCAATACTTATTTACTGTTTACTTACATATATATAAAAAAACAGGAAAAAGAGATAAAACTATGAGATGGGTTGGGTATATTATTTAATCTGACCAGGTAATTTCTATTATTATTATATTCTATCACTGATGCTTAAAAATAGAGATCAATTTTGCATAGGCTGCTGCTTTGTGATAGACTATACGACAAATGACAATGACAACAGAGAATGAGGATTCTATTAGTGGCATTTATATAATATCCGTATAAGTAAAATTGATTGTATATACTGTACATGCATATAATGTACGAAATGTTTTTATATTAATATTTCGAAAATTTTTACTTAACTGAAGAAAAAATTTTTTATTTTTGCACCCCATCCACTTCCTAAATTTCATATCGATCGACTACAGGTGCCATTCAGAGGAATATCCAAGACATTTAATGTATTTAAATAGATTCTCTATGTATTAATATTTTCAAATATACTTTCAATACTTTTAAACATACAAAGAAATTTCTTTCTTAATATTCTATAATTATTCTTATATCCAATATAATAATTTCTTATATTTTTATACCTTTGGTGCTAAGTCAATATTGAACTTCCTATATTCTTTCCTTATACGATCTATACTCCATTGTTTTACATTTTCTTTTTTTTCAACTTTACCATCATCTGCTTTCTCATCACCACTGCAATTACCATCTCCAGTACTATCTGTCTGTGTATCTTTTGAGGAAACCACTGGTAGATCAGCATCACTGTGATATAAACATAATTAAACAAGAAAATGACACATGCGCGTGTGCTCTTGATTTTGTAAAGGAAGACTTACTTTGAAATATACCAAGTTTCCTCAATATTTTCAACAGTTGAATATTCGTTACTAGTTTTTAAAAATTTCTCTTCGGGTTCCAAATTTAATTCAGATAGATGCTTAATATTGTTTTTGGAAATTTTTAAATCCTCTATCCACTTTTGTAGACCATCGAAATTAAATGTTGCCCACAGGCCACCATAATATTCGTCACTAAAAGTAAATAGAAGGCAAGTGTTTAGTCACATTTAATATTATTCAAAACAAAATAAATTTTACAAAATAAAACTGAGGACGTATTAAATTCCGATTTTTATAATACATAGGTGGAATATGTATATATATAAAATACTTATATTTATATAAAACGATTTATTATTGTTATAGTATACAGAAAAATTTGAAATGAAAATTAGTAAATTTTAATCATCGGTGATTCCGTCAAAAATTATCATAGAATATAGTGATTGACTTTTTTCTTAAAATTAAAGATTGAAGTTTATACTTTTAATATACCATGCTTTAATTTCATGTTTAGTGTAGCCTAAAATAACGTAGCAGCTTAAATATGAGAGTATGTTTGAGATATCGAAAATTGCAATGTTTGGTGTTCCTATATAGACTTGGAAAATTTTTTTTTGAAAATGTTTACATGGTTGTAAAGCTCAGATTTTCTCCTCTATTTATAAGACAAAATTTACGTAACTATGCTTTTCTTTTTGACAAAGTTGCAACACTTTAAAACAATCATTGCATTTTTTATACGTACCGCCGATATTGGGATTACTCTGACGATTTCGGACAGAATCATCGTTGATTAAAATTTACTATTTTTCACTCAAAATTTGTCTATGTACCATAGTTATACGGTGCCGTATAACTTTCTATAGTTTGTCCCTTGTGTTAGTGCAGGCATTAATTCTTCCTTGCGGAATGTGATTTCGGATTTGAACTAGTACTTGCGACAAATTTTGAACATTGGCAAGATTTCTCGCCAAATTTCTGAGTCTACGATCAATTATATCCCATACATGTTCTATCGGGTTCAAGTCTGGTCTTGTTAGAGAGGGTGGAATTATTTTAGTAGAGTTTTCCGCTAAAAACTCTCGAGTAATAGCTGCGGTACACGGTTGTGCGTTGTTCTGCGTAAAGAAAAATTTTCTCCGTATACCGCACTGTTGGTATTTTTGTTGGTGGCAGAACAATAAGGCCGGTAAGTAGAATAACAGTGATTCCTCCCTACATGATTAAAGAACAGCCATGAAATACTTCTACAGGAGCAATGCATGTTGCGTAATACGCGTGTCCTAGACGCTAAACTCGAATTTGTCCATCAAAATCGAATAAAGAAAATTGCGATTCATCGATGAAGAGTACGTTTTATAATAATTCATGATAATCGATCCATTTCTTATAATAAAATGCATTACGACATGATCCTCAGGACATGTGCCGTTTTGACTCGTTTCGTACCTTGTCTTTTTTGTGGCTATAAAATAAAATTTCCCATTTCCTGATGACGATACCAAATGCGAGAAATCGCTCATTGGCTTATGTCATCTCACAACATAAGATCATACTGACAATATCCATATAGTACACATCGAGTAATCCCAATGTTGACTGTTGCTCTCATATTTAAGATGCTACATTATTAAGTGTACACTAAACACGAGAGTAAAGCATAACTGTCTTAAAAGTATAGACTACAAACTTTAATTTAAAAATAGAATCAATTATTATCCTATGACGATTTCGGACAGAATCATCGTTGATTAAAATTTACTATTTTTCACTCAAAATTTGTCTATGTACCATAGTTACTCACAGCTGCGTAATTATGAATTATAAGTATATATATAAAAATTATATTTAAATGTATATATATGTATATTTTATAAAAAAAAATTATTTTATATTGTATATTCATTAGACATTTTTTATCTCTCTCAGTAAATATTATAAATTATCAAAATCTAATGAGAGAGATAAAAAATGTCTAATGAATATACAATATAAAATAATCTTTTTTACAAAATATAACTTTATATATTAAGTAATGTATGTGTATCGGTGACACATTAATTGCTAATAAAAGAAGCAATTGAAATATAATAATTACAGAAATACAAGAAAAAATATTATATTGCAACAAAAGATAACTATTAATATGAAAAAAAATCATATAAAAGTAAGGCGGAGAACTTTACTTTGTGTTTGCAATTTATACAGATATTTACATAATAAACACTGCCAATGGTTCAATAGAATATTTATATAAAGTAATAAATCGCAATAAAGGATTGAATATACAATGTGTCAAAATCTTCAAAAAATGATATTTTGTATCATTTCCTATTTTCCCCAAATAGTTTAAATGCTATTATCGAGTGTTTATTTTATTTGTAAATATATTTCTTTTATACATATGTTATGTATTTTTAGAATAATGATTGTTCAATTACTCCTTTTTTCTTGATTTATCTAAAAAAAAGTCTATGAAATTGTTGAAATGTATTAGTTTATCTATCTTCAAAATGATGTACGTATAATAAATTGATATTGCACATTTTCTGGGAACAATATTTAGTACAATGCATCTAATTAACAATTCAATGATAGCTATACATTAAAAAAGTTAAAACAGAAACTTCTAATGTCATTTTTTCGATTCATAATTCCGATTTTTGAGCCCTTCTTTTGAAAATGTCTTCAATTATTATGTAATATGATCAGCATTTTTAGTATTTCCTTTTTGATTAATCTATAATTTTAAAACATCCTATAATAATACACGCTACATGCTACATTCTACATTTCTATCGCACAAAGATTGTAAACTTTTCAAAAGATTAAATTTAATCATAAAAAATTTCTGAACAATTATGTACTTCTTTTGGAAAGTTAGTTTTATAAATTTCAAAGCATAAAGAAATAATAAAAGTATACTTAAGACATGTTTTTTCTTTAATTTTAACATTTATAGACAAAACATTATAAACAAAAGAAGTCAATTTCATCAACACTATTAGTTTGTTCATTGTTAGAATGAATTATAATTAATTAAGATTGATAATAAATTATATATTACAGAGTGTAACCAAACGATATATAGCAATTCTGAATAATCAAATATTAAATTAAATAATTTTTTTAAATAATATGAGATTTAAAATATCGTTTTTAAAATATAGATAAAAAAAAAAATTGAAATTTTTGATGTAGGTTAGTTATGCACCAAGTAGCAGAATGTGTGAAGATATATGTAATTACTTTGAATAAGACATAAATATATATATTTTCAGGAAATTAAAATCATAATAAAATCATAGAATGTATGCAAAATAATACCAAAATTGAAAAAAAATTTGCAGTGTAAAAGGAAATTGAAAATGTAATATGAAATTCTTTTCATGTAAGGATCCTTTTGAGAATAAGTTAAACTTAAATATTTTTTAAATATATATAAAGATTTAGTTTATATCAAAAAAATGATTAGAAACGTCTGTAATTAAAATATAATATGCAGATATTTGAAGAGGTAAAGAATTGAAACAAATTATTATTGACTCAGATTTCTTTAATTTATCAAGCAAGAACTTATCCGTAACATTCTTTGCAATTAATAAAATAAATGTATTACTGAAAATTATTGTATTATTTAAAACTATATTATCTAATTGGAGCAACACATAATATAATAATACTACACTAAATTCTATTTATAATTGATTATGAACACATAGAAAAGTATATTAAATTTATCAAGTCTATATATATTAAGTCAAGTTTAGTAATATACTGCACTTAATTTTCATATTTCCAATTTACTTTTACATGAATAAATCTTCACCTATTCAATTGTATCAAAAAAAAATTGTGTCAAAAACACTCTGTATGGGTGTAAATTTTTAATCTATTAATTAGGAAAACATTGCTAATTAAAATTTATTATTTTAATTCCTTAAATCAATTTTTGTTAACAAATCTATTATTTATTATTAATATATAAATTTTCCTACTTTTAGTAAGTTTATCTATGAAAAACTTTTTTATTGAAGAAAATGGACCTTATTATACAAAAATTGTTAGTCATTTGTATAACTCAGATATATTAGCTTTCTGCATAATCAAAAAACATTTTAAACAATTCAATGATTTTTTCTTCACTTTGAACACGAAACCACATTTGAAAAATTACAGAATAAGAATTGTAACTTGCTTTTCAAAGATTATAATTTTTATTTTGTAATTGTAAGGAAGAAACTTAGATGCATCTTTTTAAATAGGACTGAACAAAAAAAATTATGATTTATGAAACTTGTGTATCTAAAAATAAAAATTTATGTAAAAAACTACAATTAAAAAATTTATTAAAATATAATTACATTTTCTTTTCATGTCTGCATTAAACTTAAATTTCTTTTATATAAATGAAAAGTATTCTTAATTAGTTTATAAAAATACCAAATCGTAGAAAATTTCTAATTTTATGTAATTTAATTAATTAAAAAAGAAATGCAATATTTAGAATATATATAATATATATATCTATTTCTTTATATGAATTGTACATATGAAAACCAATTAATCATTTTATTAGACAATTCCACATGCTTTCTTTTTGTAAATACAGTATAAATACAAAATTTTAATATGCTTGAAAAATAAAATTTCAAAAATAAAAAATTATTATATGAAATAGGAAATATAAAAAATTTATGAAATTTATGGAACATTTACTATTATTAATATATATGAAACATATATATATATAATACACACACACACGTATAATTCTAGAGCGCGCGCGCGCCCGCGTGCTCGCGTGTATACGTGTATGTAATCAATATCCCTCGAAAATCAAAATTTAGATCTTAAATTACATTAAATGTAAAATTGTAATATGATACAATATTTATGTTAATATTTAAAAACCTACATATGTTAATTCATTGTATACTTGTAAAATTAACTTTCAGTATTAAATGTCTTTTGCTCATTTAAGCATAGATATTCATACATGAATTCTATTTGTATCAATTCTTGTTTCAAAGGGAATTAAATGTTCAATAGAAGATACAGTTATTTATGATTGTACTTTAAATGTGATATTTAAAAGCAATAATTTCAATATATACAATAAATATCTGATTAAAAAGACATATAATATATTTAATTAAAATTGAGCATCTTATATAAGTATATAAAAATATATAAATATTTTCTATTTAATAATACAATATGGAACATTAAAAAAGATAAAGAATAAGAGAAATGTAAAAAATATAAGAAAGTGAACAAGAGACACATTTACGAAAAAGAAAAAAAATGTGAATGCAAGGAAGCAAGCAAGCAAGCAAACAGGAAAGTAAGAATATGATAGAATGAGAAAAAGAGGAAGAAAGAAAATTCGACATACCTGTCTAGGTGAAGGACCTTTTTACCAATTCTACTTGCAGCTGCTGCAACAATAGACTCCGTCATACCTGACAAATTAATAAGTCATTATAAATAATTAAAAAGTAACAACAAAATAAATAAGACGTATATTGCAAAAATCAATACCCGTCCCTACGACGACGACATCATATTCATTTGGCAGATAGTCTTCCATGGCTTCCAGCTGCAAATTGCAATAGAATGTAGGATTGCGAACACAAATAGTTTTGTTATTCAATGAAAAAATGACTAAGAAATCAATTCATTTCTAATGAATTCCGTCAATTACGTTGAGTGAAGGGCCACTCCCGTCGTTTCGCTTTCGCTCCGAACTTTCACTGTTTCACTACAGTCTTCAAACTCTAGTTTGACAGAACAGGACGCTACAGACCGTAACTGAACTCAACGCTGATTCGTCAGAATTTAGTCTCGAAAGACATTATAACTAGATGTTGCAACTACTGGTATTTTACACCAAGCAGATGAAGGCAAAGAAGTCCAACCTTAACTTAAGTTCTACCTCAACATTACCGCCATTATCAAATGGTGTGGTCATTTATAGTATTATAAATATAAAATTAATATTAAATATAAATATAAAAAATTAATAGATTTTAAAGGAGTCGTAAAATATTTATAAACTATTTCAGAATTCTATAAGAAATGACTATTATATAAAATTCACAAGAACAATACAAGATTCTATGAAGCAATTGTATTTAATTAATTCTACTATATATAGTTATTTGTATATAAATATATAATTTCAAACATAATTTTCTTATTTTTCTACTTATAATATAAACGGAAATTATTATATATTAAATTCTGATACAAATTTGTCATATTGAATTTATTTCAATTAAATTTGTAAAATTAAGGTTACATAAAACTTATTTACAATTATAATTACAATGATACGATGTTTAATTATCTATCATAGTTTATATGAATTACTACATTTTTTCAAAATTTACTTATATAAAAATTATATATTTAAATTACTTATGGAAAACTTTTTAGTGTATTTATATATATATAGACATATAAATATATATAGTCTGTATTAGAGTAATAACAAAAGTTTTTTTTGTTAACTTTTATGGATCTTATATTTCCTTCATTTATTATAGTATTCGTAAGCTACATTTGAAAGAAAAAATAACATATTATAAATAATGTATGTAAATATTTTATGCAGAATGTACATTACACGGAAAGTTAATTTTTATACCTTTAAAAATGTATTGATGAATATGATAAACAATAAGGTTTTAACCATAAATTAATTAAAATACTAAATTATTTTAAATGCAGTATCTTTTTATATATTATGTGTAAATGAATCATATATGAACATTGAAATATATATAAAAGAAACATTGAATAGAAAAAATACTCGGTTCCTTGAAATAAATCTCATATAGTATATGACAATGTTAATATTGTATACAAGCTAATAAATAATTCAGTAAAAGATTTTTTTATCTGAATTTACTTAAAACTGTTAGAACAGTACTATAGAGAGATTTTCTGACATCTCTACCCCATAAATAATCAATATGATTGAATTTTGAATATTCGATCTTTCTTGTCTCTATAACATTTGGCAGACTATCAGTAAGCTTTTTTACATCTGCAGGATCAGTAAGGAAATCATTCTCACTATAAAATATTACAACTGATGTTTTTATTTTTTCAAGATCATATTTTGGTGGTTGTGTTGATCCATAAATGTTTAAATTTTCTGTTGTACCATAATCGAACTTACGAAAGGACCCTGTTAAAAGAAAATGATAGTATGTAATAATAATTAAATAGAACAATTATTCTGTACATATAAGAAATTTTTATACAAAACTTTTATTATAAGAATTTATTACCTTATATTAATAATTAATTAATATGATTAAAATAAATAAAAGTTTTAAATGCTAATTCAGTTCTTAAGTAGCTACCTGATAATATAATCTGGCTATAATGAATAATTTGTTTTGCAGAAGCACCAGCTGGAAAATGTCCCAAAATTAATGGCAACATAGATTTGTCTAGCTGATCACTACCAAATCCAGCAATTAGTGAGAACCAGCATACACAAAAACCTTTAGTAAAACTGCCTGGAGCATTTCGAATTATTGTACCCAAGGCTCGTGCTTGTAACCTATTGTGGGGGAACCACTGATGTATATTGCAATAAGAGGAGCCCCACTGAAATATGCTTACTATAAAAGTGTCAATTAATAATAGTAGAAGATTTTTTAATCAGAGGTGGGTGTATTTATGTATATCTAATATATACATATAAAATATCATATATGTCAATATTATAATTTTTTAATTATATTTTTGAAATATTCAATATTTGCTTTATTTATTAATTGAACACAATTGCTTTCCATTAAATATTTATGAACTCATTTTACCTTGATAAGTTTCTTACATAAGAAACAAAATTAAATTTTATGAATGTAAATAAAGTATCTTATAAAATGAAGTAAGAGAAAAAAACGTAGTTAAAAAATTTGTGTTGTTATGAAAACGGAACTACATAATATAATTGTATGTGTGTATATTACTTAAAATTGAAAATAAATTAATTAAGCCATATAAAATAGTTATTTTGACAATGTTGCAAAGCTCAATGTACAGACAGAGTTTAATGTAGTAATGTAGTACCAACAACTTTGTAAATATCTCAAAAACTAATGCAGAGCAGCAATTATTGCTCAAATAAAAGTTGTTCAGACTTTCATCCTATATAACAGCTTCAAAATCATCAGGATCAGCGCACAAATTCTGCAGTTTTTTCAAGTTTTTTGTTTTTTGTAAAAAATATAGCGTTAACGCATTACTCTATATTTTTTATAGATTCCCTAGATCTATGTTTCTTATAGATGCTAAAATACAATGTTTTTCTTAAAATAAGAAAAAATAAGTTGATTTAAAGCAAAGTCAATAAAGTAAACTTTTACTAAAATTATAAATACACATGATAAACAATTGTTTAAGATTAAATTTCTTTTACTATATCACACAGTTTTGATATTTTATTTATTTATCTACTTTATGTATCCATGGAGTATCTAGATACAATTGCATGCAATTAGAACAAAAATATTTCACAAATATGTAGAGAATTGAGGTCATCCAGTAGTTATAAAGCATAGAAAAAAGTTGATCAAATTCTTGTCCTTTATAACATATTTCAAAATTATCAAAATCTATGAAAGTAAAAGTAAAAGTAATAATAGAAAAGGAAAGTAAATAATGTGTGTATGTATATAAAATATATACATAAATAAATTAGCAGATAATTTTAAAGCAAAATTAAAATTTTAAGATAAGATTGGTGATATGTGATATCTTACATTTAGAATTTAACCACCTCTGATCATAATAAAAATATATTTAAAATCACACCTCCATTAATCTATAAAAATGAACAATGAATTTAAGTAATGGACTTCTTTGATTTGAAAGAAAGGCTATTGGTGCTAAACTGATCATTCCTTTGATTTTTCGATTGTATTCTGATTTTTCACTAGCCATTACGTAAAATGCAGTTGTGCCTTGACTATAACCCACATAATAGAGCTCTGTATGTCCAGTATGCTCTAAAATATAGTCTATTGTTGCTGGTAAATCATAATAACCAATTTCATGCCAGCTAAAAGATTAATAACATTTTTGATCTATTAATCAATATAATTAATTTCTTATATGATCATACATATATATTTTTCTACATTTACTTTTGTTTAATTATTGTTTTATTTTATAATTTGTTAAATAACATTACCTAAAATCCCAAAATTCCTTGTCTCTAGTTGTATATTGTTTATGTTTTCTTGAATATGCATTGCCTCTTGCATTTCCTAACCAAACATCATAATCATTGTCACATAAAAGATATGCTAAAGCTTTTTTTGGACCCAATAATACCCAATCAGCTGAACTCGACAGAAGTCCATGATAAATGAGGACTGGTATTGATTTTCTTAATGTGACTGCATGACTTTTATACTAAATATTAAGCATTTATTATGTTACAATGTTAATATAAATTTTATTTCATAATTATATTTAAATTTTATTATATATTATGGTATAATAGTAACATAAAGTACTATAAATAAATAACTATTAAAATATTATTGAAATCTGTTAATAAGATAATATAATATTCTTACGAACAATTATTTATAGGCAATTCAATGACTTTCAATAGAGAAGTGGTTCAATTATTAATTATTAAATGCATTAGCTTTATATCTCTTATAACATACTAATAACAGTTATTAAAAAATATGCTTCCATAATAAATTTTTTACCTCCATTTTTTCTTTTTCATTTAAAATTTGCATATTATTCTCACTCACATTATAATTAGGATTTTGATTCAGTTTTGGAGGTAGAACGCGATGCACATCTAAACAATATCCATCTTTCGTCCAAATGTGATGTGTTTCTGATGTATAACCATGGGCTGTAATTAATTCTGGCTGAAAAAATATTTTATTATTATTTCGTTATTGTTATTTAAATAAAATCATGAAATGTAACAGTTAATGATAAGTAATTGCTATAGTGAAAATAAAAACAATATGAATATTTTTCATGAGTACAATAAGAAGTATTATCATAATTATTTATTTAAACAATATCGTACATTTTAGATTCAACATAAATGATTAACATAATTGTTAAAAACTGTAAATGAACTTTACGATATCTAATATAAAAGAATACAAAGTAATATGTTTTACATCATTAATGGACAATTCATTAATGATTCGAAAATTGGTAAGTAGACTTAAAATCATAAATTATATATTGCAAGATATTATTGATAACCAAAAACAAAACGTTATATAAAAAAGGAAAATGTAACTTACTGTTGTCATATGAGTCTCATCCTGATTGGCTGTTGCGCTCATTATATGAGCAACTGCTGAAAAAAACTGGTTTATATGATGGAGAAATATTATCTAACTTTCACCAAGTATTATTCTTTATACTTCTTATTATTACTTTTTATTTATGATTTTATTTCTTTCAAGTATTGATTAAACAATATACTAAAATTTTATGAAAGATGTTATTTAAATGTTTTCTATAAATATCGAAAGATCGAGAAATATCGAAGTGATTTTGCGCGTTTAAAATTTTCGATATGTAATCTACAAATTCGATTAAATCTTAATGCTCTCACGATGACACACCGCGCTGTACTGCTCTACACACGTTAAAATGACAGACAGAAACGATTTATGCGCATGCGTATAAATGAACATATAATATGAACGAAATTTAATAAATTTTCCCATATTAGGGATATATATTCTTAAAAAATTAATAGTAACATTTTTATAAAGATAATAAGTATTTAGAAGTATTTTTTTAAAATCCATATTATTCCTTTAATTTCATTTTTTGTATTACTATTAATAAAATAAATTATTGCACACGAATAAGATTGAACATGTAGTGCACAAATACAATTCTTCTGTAAAGAAACCGATGTTAATTTATTTCTTAAATAGAGATTGTGATATTTAAAAAAAAATATTAGTTTTGAAATTTAAGTACTTATTATTTCAGATAAAAGTTAGTTTAGTCCAAAAATTATAGAAATTTTGTTAAACCATCTGAATTTAGTGTAATATTTAATTTTCAATTAATTCTTTAATATTTTTAATACTATTTCTATCAGTTACATTTAAATTTTTTAAATTTGATTGTTAGTATTATAATGTAATATTAACGAAAATTATAGTACTTAATATTTTAAAACATTGATTTTTTATAATATTGTTATTAATTTATCGATTAATGTATAATTCATAATTAAAATATATAAATTAAACTAAATACAAAGGTATGTAAAACTTTTGTATATATTACATATGTTAATTATTTACATACGCGCGCGCGCGTGTGTGTGTGTGTGTGTGTTAAAATTATGTTACATTTTATATATAGAAAAACAGTATAAGTATATAAATATATATTTTATATCTTTATGTATATAATGATGTTTCAAAATAAACATAAGAAATTATCGAAGATCTTCAAAGAAGTTTGAATATAGAAAATGGTATATGAACATATGTAAATCCAACTTTCAATATTTAGTTAATTATAATTGAAAACGATACTTTTTATAATAAAGATACAAACAAGTTTGTTTTACTGTAAAAAAATACTTTCAAGCACAATAATACATTTCAAAATATTCATTATAGGACTAAACTGAAAATAAACAATATTTCATACTCTATTGTCTTGTTTTATTCTTTTAAATTACAATTCTTTTAAATTATATTGTATTACATTGCAATTTTATAAATATTGTAAAATGTTAAATATTGAAAACAGCCATATTATACTAATTATCTAATAATAAACCAACTCATATAATACTAATATTTGTACATCATAATATAATTTCTGTATTATAAAAGTTATGACAAAAAACTAATTGTTTGTTTAAATGGATTATAAATTTACTTATACCTTTAGATTTCAAGTTATAACTATGAATTTATTCATAGTGCAATATTTTTACAAAGAAAGATAAAAATAGATTAGATAAAAATTGATTAGAATAAATAAAAAACAAATAAAATTGATTAAAATAAAAAGGTTACATTAAAGAGTTATGAAGATCATATAGAATTATTTAACATGAAACTATTTTTACAAAATTTAAAAATTCTTAATGCTAAAGTATAAAATAATTACAAATGATTTGTTTTGTTAATGAAATAATAATAATCATGAAAACTATAACAATGTTAATGATTAATCTTTCTGTAATTTTCTTTATCTTCAATTCATTAATTTCTTTAGTTTTTTTATATAATATTTATTTATATATAACTGGTTACTATCTTTTTCACATTGATTTATACAAATTATAAATTGATCAAGTGGTCAAACAATAAATAGTGATAGTGATCAGAAAAAGAATTATTACTCCTTTGAAATAATATACTTTTGTCACATTTGTTATTTAGTTGTTGTACATTATTGTTTTCCATGCTACATAAATAAAAAGCATAAGAACATAAAAATTATTTTTTACATATTGATTCTTATACAAATTGAAAACAGTCTTATTTGTGTATATTATAATATGTATATTACAACATAATATATAATATATTATTGATGAAATTACATCTTACGCAGTATATAAAATTTCTAAAATTTGAGTCGTTTATGGTGATAAATTATTTAGGAGCTTTTGTTATTTGTATATAATATACTTTCATGTTTTCGTACCGAAATAACATTTCTATTTGTGTCTTTCATATATTGAATAAAATGAAAATATGTAAATACCGTTTACATATAATACTATTCATAATAATATATGTATTTTTGATTAAATGTAACATAAATATCACTCACTAGTAAGTATGTTCATTTTCCAAATAATATACTTTTATGGTAATACATATAAAAAATCGACAGATAATACCGATTTGATAAATCGAATATTACTGTGAAGTCGAATATCGTAATGTCGATTATTTCGATTAATCGATCATTCAGAAGAAGACAGTAAAAGAGCAGTGTGCAGTGGTTCGCAAAGGTGTTGTGCATTTTTGAACAAAAGGCAAATTAAACCGAGATAAAATTGGAGATGGTTGGTTGTGCAGAATTTGAACAAGAGAACTAAGTAAAGATTTCAGATTCCCTCTTTCTCGTAGAATCATGTTGACCATACGGTGACGAGGCCAGCCAGATCGGCGGAAAACTACGTCACCAGTGACGGATTCCCCCGAAACTGGGACAAAGTGCAGTGTACTCTGGCATTGCGCTTTACCGGAATCTCTCTCACTCCATGTCCTAGTATACTCCCCCCTTTTACTCTCTTTCTCTCTCTTTCTCTTACTCTCAGGATTGACCAATCGTCTTGTCATTCTCGAACCCCCGATCGAAACTGACAGGTAAACATCCAAATTTTAGTTGGGTTACTTACATATATTTATTGTACTCTATATTTTTAATTATTTCATTTATTGTTAATTATTTTATTGTTTATTAACAGTACTATTTTATTACCATTAACGTTATGTTATTAAATTAAGTTGTAAAGAAATTGAGTACTGTACATGTCTTTCAAAAAATATTTAATATAACATATATATTATTATAAATTTAATGTGCATAGTACATTGGAAGTTTAAGATATAAAAATTCATACCATCAAAGAAAAGATGAATTGGAATACATTTGTTCAATATTGTAGGTAATAAATGACGAATGGTGCAGGTTCAACAACATAGTATCTGGAGGGATCAGTATCATGTCAGATGGGGTTGATGCTGGCGGCGGGGAAAATGAGGTAGATTCCCATTCCTGTTCGCACGCCGATGTTGGAGAATCTTCGAATCCAAGAGATGAGGAAAACTTGGATCCAGATAATGAAGCTGCCTTAAATACTAATTATGATAGTGGTGATGGTGCTGTACCAGCTTTTAGGTCTGTCATCTTCATGTAATTGACTTTTTGTATTTAAAAAAATTCCAATAAAGGTTTAGATAATCAAGGTCTTAAATAGCGTATCAAAGGATCCATAACGTGTGGACAGGTGTGAAAGGTGTGAAAACTATGAAACAATAAATAAGACAGCATTCTGCGCTCATCAGGATCAATGCTTGGCTAGTGCTGAGCCAGGAGAAAGTACAGAAAACATAGAAGCTACTGAAAATGATGGAGATGGAGAAGAAACACATCCTGGAATTCGTTCTCATAGGAAAATGTTTGAATGTGATGTTTGTAATATGCAATTTTCTAATGGAGCTAACATGAGACGGCACAAGGTATAAAATAAAAATTTGTATTTGTTTTAAATTTAAATAATTTAAAATTTGTAGTGCTATAAAGAAAAATAAATGTTATTTATAGATGAGACATACTGGTGTAAAACCATATGAATGTCGTGTATGTCAAAAAAGATTTTTTCGCAAGGATCATTTGGCAGAACATTTTACAACACATTCTAAAACTCTGCCATATCACTGTCCAATTTGTAACCGAGGTTTTCAAAGACAAATTGCTATGAGAGCTCATTTTCAAAATGAACATGTTGGCCAACATGATATGGTCAAATCTTGTCCTTTGTGCAATTATCGTGCAGCAACTATGAAGTGCCTCAGGTTACACTTTTTTAATAGGTTAGTGTTTAATTATTTTAGTAATATTAAATTATTTATTTTATGAAATACTATACTTGTTATTTGACTGATTTATCATTCTTTTAGACATGGAATAGATCTAGATAATCCAGGACCAAACAGTTCAAGTTCATTGATGAATAGTTGTGCTCCAGGTGAAGCTATGCCTTCTGCTCCTCTGTCAGATAGTGGAGATAGTACTGGAAATCGTTCTGCGGATAATGCAACTCCACCAATGCATTTTCTAACACCTCATATTGAAATATCCATTCCTTATCCAGAACAAACTGCAAGTCAACGAAATCCAAGTCCAGCTCCTTTAAATGGAGATAGCCCAAATAGTCCTCAAAGTGCAGACAGTAATAGTAATGCTCCAAGTAGTAGTCATCACCAATTACCAATTAACAGCAGTGGAATCCACAGGTATTGGGAAGGCTTAAAAAATTTAAATTATATTACTTTAAGCTTAATTCTAATTTATTTTTTAATTAAGGAATCTTGGTGGAAGTGAAGAAGCAATTACACCTTCCATTTCATTAATTCCTATTAAACAAGAACCAAACAGTAATGGAACAGAGGAGAATGGAGCAACATCTAGCAATCTTCCATTACCATCTTTGATAAAGGTCTCTCCACTAAAATCCCTTCTTCGAGATGATTTACGACGTAAACTTTCATCTGGCTCAGGAAATAATAACAATAACAACAATAATAACAATGGTAATTTTATTATTTTAGACGATTTATTTTTATTTTGATATAACATAAAATTTATTTATAATATATGTAGTATATACATATGTAGTATACATATATTATAATTATATATAACATAATATTTTGATATAATTTGGGTTTTTTAAATATAAATTACGTTTATCTATGATATTTTGATATTAACTGATATTTTACAAGGTCTTTTAAAATATTATTGTCTTAAATTTCTAATAAACTCTTAATTATTATAGTATTTCTGA